CCTAGAAACAGAGAATCTCTTGTTCTTGCAACACCCGCAAGGCTGACTACCTGCTTCACTCCACGTGAAGTAGACAGTGCCCCCAAACACAAGGTTAGACATCATTCAGCTTGCCCACTGCTTTCTTTGAGCTTGTCACAGGCCTCTTCCTTTCTAATGTTCTTCACATCCTGTCAATACCTTGTTCTTCAACTGAACAAAACTTAGATTGTGGTAAAACAGGATTACCTCTTGCCCATTTATACTCGCCGTTTGAATAGGAACTAGTTGTGGAATTTCTTCATCATCCTTATTGTTATCCGATTCTTTTATTACCACTTCTGCTTTTCTCTTCTGTTCCATCTCAGGCTCCTTAGCAGAAGCAGCAGCATCACTTGTTTCAGCTGTCACTTCAGCTTTCCTTGGAGTCTGCTGTGCGACTGCCTTCGTCCGCTTTCGTTTCTTTTCTTTCTTTTTCTTACATGGATAATTAAAGACATATTTTAGCAAGCTATACCTAACCCCACATTTTATTACAAATGCCAATTCATTTTATTGCAAGACCAAGAATGAACTATTTTAGACCTTCCAAAGCTTTTCTTCTTCTTCAATAAGAGAATATTATAAAGAATTAATATTAACTTGGATCTTGCCATTCAGCAGATTCTGACTTGGCAAGCACACCTGAACAAAGGAAAAATTATGTGAATTTCACTTTCAGAAAAAATAATTTCTCCTTGGATACTTTACCCAACATGTAGTAATCCTATATACAAATACACTATTACACACACTCCTACAGTAATCATGTATATAAAAACATGTATTTTAATAAATATATACACATCTCTCTTTATAGCAAGTCACACTCAAAATTGTGAAGTTTTTCAAAAACAGAGGAGAGTAACAGCCCAGACCAGTTACAGGGTGTGGGGCAACATAAAACAGGGAGATCAACTGCAATATTCAATGTGAAGAAATATGTAATATTTTCTTCAACTGGACTAAATTGGTGAAATAACCTCCAAATTAAGAGTCAAAAGTTTGCTTTTTTTCCTGAAAGTTCATTACTTAATTTTGAATACTTATTTCAGATGAGGACTAACTGACACATCCTCCTTATCTGCTAATAAATTAATAGGAATGCTATACTTATTTTATATTCATTTTTGCCTTATAAAAATAACACAAGTCCAGTGACCTGATCTCAATTAGTTGTAAGGCCACAAGCTCTGCTCCCAAACCAACAGTTTCAGGCAAGAGATTGGCAACACTATTGGGGTATGTCCTTATTTCTGTATTTGCCATTATCTCAAGTGCAAACAGTGATTTTCTATTACTACTGTTCACACCTGACTGTGTGCTGTTTCAGGTACTGTAAGAAATAGCATTTGTAGTGCATCCCAGCTATGGCTATCTGTGCCTCCCTATTACAATACATAATGTGACCGAATAAATTTGTATGAAAACACTCTAATCTCTGCAGACTGCCATTTAGCCAGTAGTTCTAATACTGTATCACCTTGTGACAAGTTACTCTACATAACAAGTTAGCGGTTTTTACCTGTCCATCCTTTCTATGAACAGATGGCTGCTTCTCAAGCTCATCTAAATTGGAGACTGGTGAGTTAAAGATTGGAAGGGCAACCGATTTGGGAGTTTTGAGGTGAAGAACTTTAATATTTTTCCCCTTCTGCAATAATAAAAAGTAAATAAAGATGAAGCATAGCTGAAACCTAGTCCACTTCACATAATAATTTAATAAAAAACAGTACCTTTGGCAACTTATCGGCAATCACCCCAACAGCAGCAACAATGTTTTCTAACAACTCTTCAGCTCCCATTCCTGTATGACCTATGCGTGCTGTACTGAAAGAAAAGGATGTATACCATTTTTATTCTGGTAAACACTAATCCTACAGCAAGGTTACCTGGTGTTAATTTACTGGCTTATTGGTGATCTGAATAAAGACCAAAAAAAGCTACCAGGCTTTGCAAAAATTCATGGTAACAGCAACAATCAAATTTAAAGAAGCTTCTTTCCTCTATGACATTCTGCATCAATAACCAATTGTAATTAAGTTGTACACATCTCTAGACAGATGATACAAAGGGGAAATCTATCAAGAAATGGTAGAAGCAAGCTGCTGATCTCTGAAAAACATTACTCCAAAGTCGGTCAGGCATGTCAGGGCAATTTTATTATGTCGTAGTGGAAAGAGGTCAAAGAGAAAATTATACAGACACATTTCCTAAAAAGAAAAATCACTGTTTTTTCTATAAAATCCAAAGTCCATTCCAGATCTTGTGCATTTTGGCAAATTTTAACCTCAGTTTGTTCTTGAACCGACTGAAGGAAAAGTAGATGCATTAATTTAACATTGTATCTTGTTCCTACTCTTAAGAATATATAGTTTTTCACATTTAATACTTACTAACAGCAGCCCTTGTTGGTAACTGGAAGTACAGTTCCTTGGATATATTTGTTTATCTCCCTAGCAAGATCTTTGGCTTTCAGGTTTACAGACAAAGGTGTTCTAAAAAAAGAAAGAGGAAGGAGGGAAAGGGATGCGTAACTTCACTAAGAACAGTTCAGCTCTCAAAGATAATCTGTTATAAATATCCACAAGAGACTTGCCTTTTACTTCTATAAAACACTTTGCCTAGATGTGAAGGCAAAAGTCTTCTAATTCGGTCATCAGACAGAAAGAGATCAAATTTGTTCAGGAGACGACGCTTTGCTTCATACGGTTTATACTCTTGTGTGAGAGTCTTGTAAGAAATGATCTGTACCATAAGAAGCAAGTTAGGTTTAAACTGGTTCAAGATTGAGAATGTCTTGTTACAGCGCCATACATATGATTGTCAATACTGCTAGTCCATTAAAACTTCAATAGTAAAATAGTCTATTGCCTTCTCTACTTTACAGACATTTACACAAACAAATTGTACTTTAAAAAAAATGTTAAAAAGATATTGAGGTTTTAAAAAAAAGAAATTGAAGATAAAACCATTTCTAAAAATGAGATTTTACTTTTCTCTTATTTTCCCTTTTTTACTCAGTAGCATAAAACTATGTAGCTTGCAGCGCTACAGTGGAGTGAACTGTTTTTGCTTTATTCATGTCAAACAAATCTGATTGTTAAACATTATTCTTTTTTTTTTAAATTACAAACTCGTTGTTTTGGTCATCAAGAGCTAAAAGTGAAATTAGACTAGAAGTAGCTGAAAAAGTTCCTAAAAATGTTCCTGTATTATTACAAACAACCGATATATCAGAATCCCTCAATGTCCCTACCTGGCTGATATTTGTGATCCCATTCTGTTTTAAGAGTTTCTTGTACAAGTTTTCAGTCTGTTCCGCAGATAATTCAGGTTCATCTTTTGTAAACAGGCAAATTTCAGATGTTTCTGGTCGAATAACATGAGGCAGTGGTCTATAACAAAGCAATGAGATGGTAGGCAAGTTGCTAAGTCAGACTTTCTCTCTACACAAAGCCAGACTTAGTAAGCATTTTAAAATTACTGTACCTATGAGCGTAAGTGCTAAAGACCTTGGTCTACAACTATATATAACGTGCAAAGAGTACAAAGTATCAGCAATGAGATCCATAGGTCTGCTAACAGTTCATAAAAATCTAAACACATGCAAGTGTTTGTAGGTTCAGAGCTTTAAACAGGTTGGGGCTCTAACTTGTTGTGCAGTATTACTGTACCCTCAGAATAAGGAAACCTTGCAGTGATTGGCAATGGGGCTGATGAATAAACACACTGAGCCTTTATTTCTTGAACTAGAAAAAATAGGTACCAAACAGCACAAAAGCCAACAAGATGGGCATACGGGACATGCATAGACTCTGTTAATAGTAAATCTTGCTTCATTTACCTTGCTGAGCCAACTGACTAAGTGAAAAGGGCAAAAGAGATACCCATTCACACAGCAAAATGTCCCCAAGAATGCTTGGACAGCACCACAGACATGGGAGACTACTAAAAATTCTTGAAACTGATAAAATATGGTTTTATTTTGATAGTGGAGTGAGGGAGGTAAACAGAGATCATGTAGGCCACTGTCACAAAGTGCCACACTATGGCAGAGCAGATGAGAAGCACTGGCCCTGGAGCTAGAGCAGGGGTGGGCAAAACATGGCCTGTGGACTGAATCCAGCCCGCCAACAATTTGATCTGGCCAATGGGAGGATGGCCTCCAACTCACTGGATCTGGCCCATGGGTGTCTGGCGGCTCCAGTGCTGTGTGGTGCTGGGCAGGCAGGGGGGACTGCTTCTGCCAAGCAGCATCAGGCATCAGCTATGGACCTGGACAGGGTGCCCGCCACAGCAGTCAGGTGTCAGCATCACAGGTGGATGCTGCAGGCAGGTTCATTTCAGACACAGAACCTGCCAGTAGTGTCCAGGTGTGGTCATCTGGCCAGGTGCCAGGGGATTGGAAACTAGCTAATGTGGCCCCCATTTTTAAGAAAGGGAGGAAGGAGGACCCAAGTAACTATAGGCCTGTAAGCCTCACCTCGGTGCTTGGGAAGATATTGGAGAGAATCATCAAGGAGCACATCTGTGGGGGGCCAGCAGGGGAGATCAC